TCTTTTTTTTTTTTTGAGACAGGGTCTCCTTGTAGACCCAGCTGTCCTGGAACTCACTATGTAGACCAGGCTGGCCTCAAATTCACAAAGATCTGCCTGCCTCTGCCTCCCAAGTGATGGGATTAAAGTTGTGTGCCACCACGCCCGGCTAATAAAGCTATTTCTTAAATATATATCATTGTTAATTGTCCTGGCCTCAATTTCAAAGTCTAGATATGCAAAGAACTGTCTGTGGACCACTATAATACTCCAGGTGAAACATGGTTAAGTTTGTGTTAGGCTAATGACAATGGCACTGTTACCCTATTAAGGGTGTACACAGAGAGTCTTCTACCTTGAAACTTTGCAGAACTGCAGGTTTCCTTCCTGTGGCCTTTTCTGGGCAGAAACATTCAAGAATATGGGCCTGCCTGGAAAACAAAATGTTGCCTGGAAGGAACGAATGGTCTCCACATGTGACCCCAGAGTGCCAAGGGTGGTGAAGTGGAGGTACTCTTAGGGATGAGTAATTTAAGTTCTCTGTCCTTTACAGGGCTGAATGGCATCACCAGTGGATGCAAGTGCTGAGCATCTTGAGTGCTTTGAAGATTCTAATACAACCCAAGTGCCTTGGACTCCCAAACTGTGCTCCATTTCTTCAGGCAAACCAAAGAAGAAATAAACATATTCTATTGATGCTGGCTTAACATTGCCATCAGTTAAAGGCTAAAAACTCAGGAGATAACTGGAATTTCTATTACTGTTTTTTACTTTCAGGTTTGCTAGCTTTTGGTCAGGAAGTCACAGCTAATTGTATCTACTGTCTTCAGCTTACCCTTTAGCTTTGTGCTACTCTAGGGTCTCAAGCTGCTCTTTGGGGTCATTTTTGACCAAGCAATTTGAGGATTGCTTGCTCAATGCTAGAAAGTTTCAAGCTGCCTCTTGAGATCAGTCTTTCTCAATTCTCTAACTTCTTACCTACCTTCTTACCTACCAAACTTCTTATCTACCTAACTTCTTACCTACCTTCTCTAACTTCTTACCTACCTCAATATATGTACTCCCCTTTTTGTGGGTCTACAGTACTCTACAGTACTCTGTAATTAAAGAGACACTAGAAAATCTTAGCAAAACCCTTACCTTCTGTCTTAAGAGGTGTGGTAGTAATATCTGGGCTTTCAGAAGCCTCCCTCATGAAAGTGACCTGGGAAATAGAACCAAATCCCTACTGTTTTCATTCCTAGAGCAGCATACCCAGAATCTGCAATGGCAACCACAGAGAAATTTCCCTGCCATCACTGGAAGGTCTGAGCAGTGCAAGTTACCATGTCAAGCCCTAGGCCCAGTGTGCTCTGGGAGAACTTGCCCATCTCAAAGTCCCAGAACACACCAAATTGGCCCTAGCAGGGCCTCTAGTAAAAGCACAAGCTCCCACAGCAAAGGGAGAGTGACAGCGAAGCCTGTCGGGGTCTCTCTCTGCTGCCTCCAGGAAGTAAACACTCTGTGGTGCAATTTGTGTGAAATGAAAATTACCTCTAATTGGAGGGCTGGGATATAAATATCTCCAATCTGTAAACAAAGCAATTGCAGAGTGCTAGAGGCATTTAACTGTCCTATTAAGTGCTACAGGTTAGGAACACTGCAACAGGAGGTGGTCCTACCCTGGACCTCAGGAGCAAGAGTTGCTCCTGGGCTTTGTTTCAAGACCTGCTCAGGCAGCATACTTGTCCTTAAGGCTCATCAGTGGTCCCAGTGGTGTTGTGTGTTTTAATGTGCACTGGGGAACAAAGAACCCCAGCTGGTAGGTCTGCAGCCCAGACACTTTAACTCCTACTGTAGCAAAAGTGAGCAACTGTCTTTAAAGCAAGATACTTATAAGTACCTAAAGCGCGCATGCGCGCGCGCGCACACACACACACACACACACACACACACACACACACACACACACAAACACCTACACTTGGGATTCTGTGAGGTGTTTTGGGCATGGATTTTATCAAAACACCTTATATGCATATGAAATTCATCTGTAAAAAATTTTTTGGGTCTTTTTGAGACAGGGTCTCCTTGTAGCTCCAGTTGGCCTGGAACTCACTATGTACACCAGGCTGGCCCCAAACTCACAGAGATCCACCTGCCTCTGCCTCCTGAGTGCTGGGATTAAAGGCATGCACCACCATGCCCAGCAAGTAAATTTTTTTTAAGTTAAAAAAAATTTTTTTTTAGGTGGGGTCTTAGGTAGTCTAGGCTGGCCATGAACTGGCAACAGATGACCTTGAACTTCTGATGCTATTGCCTCAAAATTCCTGAATACAAGTATGTGTTCCCCTGACTGGTTTATGTAGGGCTGAGAATTCAATCCAGTGCTGGGCAAGCACTCTACCAACTGAGCGATTTAGCAGCTGAGCTATTTCTTCTGCTCCCCTTCAAAGTTTTGATTATGTAGCTGCTGCTACAGAAGGCATCTTCATAGGAAGCCACCTGACAAAAAATTTGACACCAATGTGAACTTTTTCAAGTGAACCACAGGGGCAAGGAATATGCAAATTGGTTTTTTGGAGGAAATGAAGTTGTATCTGCAACTATTTCATTAGATAGATGGGAGAAGGACCTTCCTATTTAAATATTACAGAACTACTTTGAAAGCAAAGAAGGGATGATAGTTGGGATAAAATGTAGGCAAATGTATTAGGAAATATTGCAAAGAAAGTGGGATTTGACAGGAAGGGGAGGTAGAACAACAAAAATATAACCAGGCTGTCAAGATGTACAGTGAAAGGCTTTGGGTCCATACTTCCATAAAGGAAAAGATCCTACTCTGTCATGCTGGGAGAGTTGACTTCAGGTGCATATTCAGGGTTTAATGATTTAGAGAAGGAAAAGAAACTATGACTGTGTAACTTTTAAAATATTTTACTTATATTTATTTTATGTGTATGAGTGTTTTGCCTGCATGCATAAAGTGTACCCATGTCGTGCAATGCCTGTGGAGGTCAGAAGAGGGCATTGGATCCCTTAGAACTGGAGTTAGGAGTTGTTAGCTACTATGTGGGTATTGGGAATTGAACCTGGGTCCTCTAGAAGAATGACCAGTGCTATTAACCATGGAGACATCTCTCCAACCCTGATTGTATAACTTTTAAAGGGCACAATTACAGCAAGAGAATAAGCACACATTGATGTAGAATTCCTTTGCTTTTCATTCTCTCTGACTCTGCAGGCTGAAGGTTGTTGTATTTATTTATCAAAGCTCTTGAGGAATATAGGAATCATTTTTGCCAGATCAGAAGCAAAATACTGAGAAAAGACAGACACATAGGCAATAAGCACTTAACAAGCACTTCTGGTTTAGGTACTTAATCTCAGGTAATCATTTCATTGAGGTGAGTAGTGAATCCCTGTTTTATAGACAATGAATTCAAGCCTTAGGGATGTTAAACAACTTTTCCAAGGGCACTAAAACCAGACTCCTCTGGTCTGTTCAGAGGCAAGTCTCTCACAGAAAAACTGTTCTTTGTCTCTTGATTCATCTTTTGTGTTCATACTGAACAGTATTATAAAACCTTAAAGTTCAGCACATGGAGACTTAATTCTCTAGACTCTTTCAGCAAATCTGTCTCTTCCTAGTATGCCACACATTATAAATATGCATACTCAGATGGATAATGCTGTAGTAAAGTCATAGGCTTCCAGCTGTACTTGTCAAATGCTTCCAGAACACTGCTTCTGACCTCACTGAATTCTGATTCCCTGCTGAACAGGGTTAGACTTTTCCAGAAGGCAGAACAGACCCATTCACAGCCACATGTGCAACGCTGCCTTGCTGCATCCCTGGTTGCATTTTCTTTCCAGGAACACGCCTTAGCCATCATTAATGACATGTGACTCCATCTGTGGAGGAAAGTCAGTGCTTTACAATGAAGCACCTGCCACACTCTCTCCCAGGAACCTCTGCCCTTTGTAGAATATTCATGAAGTCTTTCTTTGTAATCTTTGTCTGAATTTCAGAAGATTCTCTAAAACAGAAGAGTATTAGAAAGAACCATCTTATGCAAACACAAACAGAAAATCCAGCAGGAGAAAGAAAGCATTGGTTTCTAAGCACTGTATTCTGTCCACAACCAGACACTCTCTCGCATTCCCCAAGTAACCAGAATGGTTTCTTCGGTTAGGTAAATATGACTGCACATGTGACCAGATGGGAAAAAATGGAGCAAGAAAAAACTCAGTGGGCTTAAGCAAAATTCCTCTCAACTCCACTTGAGTTTGTATTTGATGCAGGGAGAAGGGGCCATCATTATAAAATAACTTTTACACGCATTTACTTATGACTTAGACACATAGTGACCTGAAATGGAAGGAAAGTTTAGGAACCAAAAGAAACATAGAATCATAGTAGGCATGCGCACCTCCTGCCACATCATACACAGACTCACAGGGTATTTTTTCAAGTTAAAAGGTAATTCAGAGCAAAGCCCCCCGCCCCAACCCCATTGTGCAGGATAAACTATTGGGTAAGTCACCCATGCCTTAGTTCTACCATAGGAATGAATTACACGTATATAGTAACATATTCCTTTTTGTACCGCGTATGTCTTATTAATGTTTCAAGCAGAGTTCAGCACTTTCTCCTTTTATTGCCGAAGCAATCAGGTACTCTAGAGGAATGAAGGCATCGAGGTTTCCAAGATAACTAGGCCACATCCTTATTTGTAAAGTAACATGCATTTACCAAAATTTAATGGAACAATATTCCTTTGAACTGTAGTGATATTCTAGTTTTAGAAACATATACGGCCTCCCTCCCAGACATGCTTTTAAAACCTCCTCCCGCTAAGTTCCCTGAAAGAGTCTAGAGCATCAGTTGCACCCATAGCAACCAGACTCCAGCTTTCTCTGTTACCATGGGGCCGCCTCGGCCATGCCGGGTGGTCGCTATGGTAACTGGAGGCGGGTCGCAGGGTCCTGGCAGGCTGGGCGCATGCGCGCGGGACGGGTTCGCTACGCCGCGCGCTAGCCCCTCAGCTCCCCCCGACATGGCGCTGAGGCGGCGGCTCCGACTTCGGCTCTGCCCGCGGCTGTCGGACTTCCTTCTGCTGCTGCTTTTCAGGGGTGAGTTGGTGCTTCTGTGCCGGGGGAAAGTAGGGTCTGGGGCGATGGGAGCAGAGCGGGCTGCAGCGGCTTGAGCATGTCCAGGCGGAATAGCGGTCGCAGCTCCGGGACTCCGGGCCCCGAGGCTCAGCAGGAAGCCCGCGGGGGTCGGACCCGGGCCGGGGATGCGCGGCTACGGGCGGCGGGGTCGCCCCGGCGGGATCCGGGTCCGGCCTAAGCGGCCCTCGAGCCGATCCCGTGTGGGTCCCGACCGGCTGGTCCCGGGAGGTGGACACGGCCCTCTGGAAGCACCGCGGTAAGCCGCGCGGCGGGCTCGGGAACTTGCTAGAAAACTGCGGAGCAGCGTGGTGCCCAGGAGTCGAGGACCGCGAGCCGCGCTCGGGCCACCGGCGACGCAGAATTCCCGAGGCCTGTCCGGCTTCTTGGTCTCAGCCTCTGGGGATCTGCTGCGGTCAACAAAGGAACTGAACTGGACAAGGCCGGCCTTCCTTTAGCAGGGATGGAGCTGCACGAGGATGAGTGGGCACCTTTGTTGCATACTGGTGGAGGAGGAGACCTTTACCCCTACATAGCATCTGGGCCATTTTGATCCGGACACGCTGCTAAATTTATTGAAAGTTCTGTTCTTTCCTTTACGCGCTTTGGAATTCCCAGGAGACAGTATCTCCGTGGTCAGTTGGGCAGAAGTACTGTGAGCTCACTTTAGCGTTACTTTGTCTATAAATACCACGCGGCACTTTGAAACTATTATCTTATTTAGTCCCTAAAACAGCTGTGTGAAGTGGGTTTTATGAACTTATTTGCAGACTTTTTTTTCCCAAGTCTGCCTGCCGAATAAGTTGTGTCAAACTTGTTTAAAGCACTACCCCACATTAACAAGTAATCAGACCCGCACCTCTTTCCCTCTTGGGTCGTTTGTTCTTGACTTTGTTGTCACCCTTGATGTTTTCCCTAAAAATACAAATTTAAAACACCAAGCCACTGTTTGGGAGTGGGGGGTGGGCAGGCTTAGGAAAACAAAGCTTTTTTTGTGCTGGATGCTTATTCTAGGGAGGTGCTCAGAATGGTGGTAGTGAAAAGAGCAGGTTTAGCACCTAAGTGCTGGAAATAAGGACAAGCCTTAGTATACAGTGGGCCACTTTATGTTTTGCCTGAAAGTTATTTCCAGAACCAAATGCAGTTGGGAGATAGAGGTGACCAGAGACTGACCAGGAGACAAGAGTGTCAGGAATGTCCGACTCCCACTGTGTTGATCATGCTAACACTGTTCTATTCACAGACTGGAACAGCTCCTTATTGTTGAAGAGATTTGCTCACATACAAGTTTGCGGTTTTCATTGGAAAGAAAACATTTGGCAGTTGACTTCAGGGATGAATTTCAACTTCGTTATTTGTTAATAAAACTAGAAAATGCTAAGGATGTCATATACCCTTTAGCCTCTGATTTTGCCCTCCTTGAGGGACTGATTTTGTGGGATTCTTGCTAGTAAGGGGTGAAATACACCTGTAGTACATAAGAAAATAAAAATTTGCAAACCAGGACTAGTGACAGATGAAGGTGGTAGGTAGATGCAGTAATCCTCTATGGTTTTCTTTATTAAAGTAAGAAGTTCTGTTTCCATCATTTGGTTTATAGCTTAAGTGTTCCTTAAAACTTTGTTCTTGGGGTTGGAGAGATGGCTTCAGGATTAAAAGTGCATACTGCTTTTGTAGAGAACCCAAGGTCAATACTTAGCACCCAAATTGGGTGACTCACCCAACTCTAGGGGATTGGATGCCCTCAGCCTCTCTGGACTCTGGTGGCGCTTGCACTCACACCGCCCTCCCCTACACAAAAATAAATGCTTTTTAAGAAACCTGTATTCTTAACAGGTCATAAAAACTGTGCCCCTTTACATTTTTAGGATTATGCTATGTAGGAATTGTTGTTGTTATTCAGTGTTTTCATTAAAATAATGCTACTTCCAGCAAGGTTTGGTGACTTAGCACTCTGGAGGCTTAGGTTGGAGAATCACCTTGAGTTTGAAGCTATCAAGGGATACAGTGAGTTCCAGGTTAGCCTGTGCTATGTGAGACCCTGCCTCAAAACAGCAGCAAAAACAAATTATGAGTTCCATGCTGGTGGCACATGCCTGTAATCCCAGCGTTCAAGATCGCTGCCAGTTCAAGGCCAGCTAAGGGCTATATAGTGAGACCCTATTTCCAAAATTAAAAAAAAGGAGTTTCTAACATAATAGTAAACATTTCTTTAGTAATCACCCCTTGCTGGGATCTATTACCAGAATTTAATATGAATTAGTTGATTTAATTTTGATAAGTCTTAAGAGTTTGCTATTATTTTGCTTATTTTGTGTATGACGAAACACAAATATGCAGAGATAAAATAACTTGCTCCAGGTGATTTCTCAAGCATCTTAAATTTAGAAATCTCCAATTTGTGTTAATTCAGTCTTTGATTACTTGTTTATTCTGACAATGGAAATTCTTATTATGACTCAGTTTAATCAAATTATCAAGCATTGAAAGCTATGTCATTTGTATATAAAATGTTGCTTAGTGGAATTGATGACAGGTGTGATTCAGCTTTTCAAATGTTATGCCACATGCCTTTTTTGAATGATTATGTAGTAATCACTGTAGCTTTCCAAATCTTTTGATGTACTAGAGTGAAGCCTTCATTTAGGATTAAAACAATAACAGTTTATATTCTTGAGTAAGACAGTTTGTGTACTGAAATGTAACAACCTAAAACACAAAATTTCCAGGAAATTTTTGACCAAATATTCAAATTCTTCCATTTGTTGTGTCTTCTGAAACATGTTTTAGAGTGGTCTGTATTGATTAATTGATTGAGGAACTGGGGATTGAACTCAGGCCCTTCTCTGGAGATGTATTTCCAGTTCTTTTAAGGTATTTTAATTCATCTTGATTATTGTATGTGTAGTTTGTCTTTTTTTTTTTTTTTCCAGAGCTGAGGACCAAACCCAGGGCCTTGAGCTTGCTAGGCAAGCGCTCTACCACTGAGCTAAATCCCCAACCCCCGTATGTATATTTTAAGAAAAACAAAAAAACTCCTTTTCCCCAGACATGAAATGCTTCAAATCATCTGCTCACTTCCAGATGACTTATTTGTGGTCATTTATTCTTGGGTGCTACAGGCCAAAGAGACTGAATGGGTGGTTGCTAGAGATCTTAGTCATTAAATTATTGCACAGTTACACCCAGACAGAATTAATAGTCGCCTAACTCCTAACCTCTATGGAACTTTCTCTTAAGCTAGCTCCAACCAATAGGTTTAAATCAGTTCTTTTGAAAGAAACTGGACTTTCACCAAGCATGTTTTCTGAAGCTAATGGATATAATACATTTACCAACAGCTGTTAGAGATGTGATATTAACAGATTCCTTTGCCATAAATTCTTTGAATTTTTTCAAAGCACAAGTGGAGTAAAAGAAAGGAAAATATGTGTGAGGTTAGAATGTACAGTCTGCTGAGAGCATCCTGATCATGAAGTCAGATCTCTTTTAACATGTGTTTAGAATCACTTCTGGGAATATGATGATGTTAGGGTTGGATGTACATTTTAAATCTTTGCATGTGCCCTCTGAATTCTAGTAGAATATGCAAATCTCTTCACTAGAGTATAAAGAGTTCCTGAAACAAAGTTTAAGTAAGCACGTTCTTTTACACTCAATTTAGCAAGGACTGTATCTACTATATGGAGGCTTAAGCATACATTTATTGCCTCTTTGTTCCTTGCCATGGAACACAGTAGTCTCTCTGAGCTTTAGTCCTGTTTCTGATGCTCTTGGAGGCAGTGGGTTTTCATGCTGTGGTGTTTGTGGGTTTCTTTGCTTTTAAGTAGTATCTGTTATATGTATACATTTCCCATGACTAGTAATGTGTATGGCAGGAGTTGCAGTGCTGCTTTTGCTGAAAAAAAAAAAAATCAAGGTATAAGGAAAATTAGGACTGTGTAAACATCTTTCTTTATGTCTTACTGCTTTAAGAATTTATTTTTATTTTTTGTGTGTGCATGTTTGTGTCTGCTTACCTTTATGTGCACCCAGTGTGTACAGGTGCCTATGGAGGTCAGAGCCCCTGGAGCTGGAGTTCAGGTGATTGTGAGTCTCCCAGTGTGCATGCTGGGACCTGGACCTGAGTCTTCTGCTAGAGTAGCAGATGTTCTTGAGTGGTCTCTCCAGCTACTTTGTCTTCTTTCATTTTCAGACTATCCCAAGACTTCTGTGGTTTGCCTCCTTTTCTATAATTACTGCTAAAATTAAATTCTTCCCATCACATCAGCTGTGTCTGAAAACCTCAGCTCATAACAGTCTGTCCTATTTTTAAATAAGCATATATCTTAGTCTGTCGTTCAGCTCATTACAACAAACTTTAAAAATTAAATAAAAAAAAATTATGTCCCAGGCATGGTGGCTCACACTTTTGATTCTAGCACTCATGAGGCAGAGGCAGGTGGATCTCTGTGAGATAGAGGCTACCCTGGTCTAAATAGTGAGTTCCAGGCCAGCTGGGGCTAAAGTGAGACCCTGTCTCAAAAAACAAAACAAAGCAAAATACATAAATAAAATTTTATGTGTATGAGTTTTTTTGCCTGAATGTATGTAAGTGCACCACATGTGGAGACCAGAAGGAGTCAGATCCCCTATAACTGGCATTACAGATGGTTGTTAGGTTCCCTGTGGGTGCTGAGAACCAACCCAGGTCCTCTGCAAGAGCAGCCAGTACTTTTAAACACTGAGCCATCCCTCTGGCCCCACAAGGAACATTTTTAATTGTGTTATATCAGGCACTACTTCCTGTGGTAAGGGTACAAAATGAATAAAGTGCCCCATCCCTTGAAGAGCCTTGGTGTCTGTATGACCACTCATACTAGGCTTTGGGTGGTGTGTGTGAGTACATATTCACAAGGATGTTGAATTTCCCTGGGAGCAGAAGCTGACCCAGAGCAGAGATGACTCCAGTGAGTAATGCTTGT